GATTGATTCCCACAGCTCCACCTCCCCTGATTGATTCCCACAGCTCCTCCCCCCCAATCCCCACAGCTCCACGTAAGTGCTTCCCCTCTCACTGCTTTTCACGTTTATTTGTAGACGTGCAGGCATCATGGTGCACATACTGTGGTGCACATGTTGGGATCAAAGGACAGCCTGTGGGAGTCACTTCTCTCCTTTCACCATGTGGGTTCCATGGCTGGAACTCAGGTCATCAAGCTTGGCACAGGGTGCCTTACTTGCCACTTTGCCAGCCCTGCGTTTGCTCTTTTTGAGATAGAGTTTCCATAGCCCAGGCTGCTCTTGAATTTGTGATCATCTTGGCTCTACCTCTTTTTTTATTTTTAAAGATTTATTGTTTTAGGAATGTGAATACAATGTCTTCAGACACACCAGAAGAGAGCATCAGACCCCCATTACAGATGGTTGTGAGCCACCATGTGGCTGCTGGGAATTGAACTCAAGACCTCTGGAAGAGCAGTCAGTGCTCTTAACCACTGAGCCATCTCTCCAGCCCCTTGGCTCTACCTCTTAAGAGCTGGAATTGCAGGCATGTGCTGCCACACCACCTTTATGCTTAGATTTGTTTACATTTTGCTCTGCTTGTGGTAGCTTAACACACACACACACACACACACACACACACACACACACACACACATTTTGTCTTGTTTGATCTTTCCCATAATTTTCTAATACTGATAATGTATGCTGACTGATGTAGAATGAGAAATTGTCACTGTGTTAAATAGTAGAATAGGTGTGTCAGTTGTTTGTTGGTGGCTATGGAGTACAGCGGGTGAATGAGGTGTACAGAGGAGACTGCCTGTGGCTCCTTCCCACGCCCTTTCTGTACTTGCCGCAGCTGTTCTCTGCAGTAGCCCTTCTAGAGGCAGACTGCCCACTCATTGGTGGTAAAGCTGGTGGAGTAACTTTTCCCTTTGCTAAGGGATATCTGATTTCAAGTTAGTTTTCTGTACGTATTTTAGGTATTCTGAGACATGGTCTCATACTGTGTAGCCCAGACAGGCGTGGAACTCACGCTGAAGCTTAGGCTTGCCCAGATCATAGTCTCCTGGACAGGTTGCTCAAAATTCAACCTTTTTCTTTTTTCTTGTATAGGTATAAGGTAAAGTTTTAAAAGGTATAGCTAGTTATGCAGTTTTGTAGTTATGGTTTGACACAGTGCCAAGGTTGATTGCCAGGCCACTGGTATATAACAGTTTTAGGTTTTTAATTTTGTACCCACCTTTCAAGATAAAAATATTAACTACAAAACTGCATAATCAGCTATACCTTTTAAAACTTTACCTCATACACTGTCTCCATCTATGTAGGAATCTCCCCAGAGTACACCAACCCTGTGTGTTCTTGGGGACATGCCTAGCCATGTGTCTTTTGTACAGAGCAAAGTGCATATTCCTAGACAGAGAACTTAAGGCCATTGTTGTTTGGTCTTCTATCTGATTGTTTCCTGTTATTTTCACAAGTCGGCCACAGGAGTCTACTTAGCAGCCTTACCAACGCCTGGTGGTATCCAGATTGCTGGGAAGACTCCTAATGATGGCTCCTATGAACAGCACATCTCCCACATGCAGAAGAAAATAAATGACACGATTGCAAAAAACAAAGAACTTTATGAGATCAACCCCCCGGTGAGTGACTGAGGCCTGCACAGTGAGCACACCAGCCACTGGCTAGCAATGGAGGATACTTGGAGGGTGTCTTCCTTTGGACATGGACGTTCTTCACCTCCTTACTGTCCTTGTTTAAATTTCTCCTTTTCGGTGAGGCCTCCTCTCATCCAGTGTACACAGGGCAAGTCTCCTTTCAGGTCTTACTTCTTGCATGTGTATGTATCTCCCTCTCTGTGTGTGTGTGTGCTAGTGTGTGTGTGTGTGTGTGTGTGTGCTAGTGTGTGTGTGTGAATGTTCACATGCTTAACTTTTGTGGGGCATGTATACACCTAGAATTTTTTTTGTCTTGCCCATTGCAACCTGTAGAGTAAAGCTCTATTATAGCAATGTTTTATGTTCTAGAAAGATCTCCCAAGTAAGAGCCTCTCAGTACATACTTGTTAAATGGCTCTGTAAGTAGTTTAAAATGCTCTTTTTGGGGGGGGGGGCTGGAGTACTGACTTACATCTATAATCTCAGCTGTTGGGAAGCTGAGGCAGAAGGATTGTTGTGGGTTTGAGGCCATGTGGGATTGGCTGGATGCAGAAGAGAAGGTGATGATGCAGACGTCTGACTCCATCATAACAGGGAAGACGGCCTGTAGTGAACATCAGCAACACTTGGCAGGCAGTGTGGCTGCAGGGCAGGAGGGCGCGCCTGTGGGAGATCAGGATTGAGAACATGTGAAGAAACCTTACTGAGTGTGTGCATGCCTTGTGTCTTGTCGTCATTTCTTAAGTAGTGTAGTTTAAGAACTGTTACACAACTTCACCTCGTGCAGTCTAGAGGTGGCTTAACCAACACAGGCAACTCTGGCTAGTAGCTCAGTACACAACAGTGTCCTAGCATATGCTTCATCTCTTTATTTTAGTTGAGTTATGTATTTATGGGGAGGCAGCAGTACGATATGTGCATGTGTGTGCTTGCAGAGGCATGTGCTTACCCTACATGCTTTCTTTCTTAGGTCCTAGCTCACAGCTGCATCTGTTTCTCAGTTTTTGTTAATTGTAATGAACACCCTTTCAGATGTGTGCAGGGCAGGTTCTAAATATAATGTGGACATTGTGACAGTACTCCACAGGTGGCTTTGAACTCTACAGGTGTCTTTTTTCTTAGGCACATGCTAGCAGTGAACATTTAACAACATTTTGGAAAACCTCTATTATAACCCATATAAAGGAAGTTTCTGGAACAGCAGCAGCCTCTGCCTGTTGTGCTCACACATCGTGGCCCATGTTGACTTTTTAAGAGACACAACAGATGTGTATCTGTGCAGGATAACATCATACACTGTTTGTAGAAAATCAGTTTTGTTGCTGTTGAAGATTATTTAGCATGATGGATTATAATCATGTATGTGTATGTATTAACTTGTCATACACACACACTTCTTATTTTTCACATTAACTATCATAGAGCCTTGAAGGGTTGCTACTGGAGAAGAAAGGATATGAAAGACTAGTGTTCTCTTCTGGAATCTTTACATCTTTATAGCCAGTTGTACTTTAAAATGCTTCATAGACATACATGTGGATAGTATGTAGAAGTACATGTGCCTGGGTGGGGAGCATCCAACCACATTTTAGCTTCCTGCCTGTGCTCTACATGTCTCCTTGACCTTGTTACACCCTGGACAGTTAGCCTGCGTTTGTAGATAAAAGAAAACATCTGCATCTTCTGTGACCTGAAAATGAAGCTTTAGAATTCAGTGAATGTATCTTGTGGATTTTTTTTTTCTTACCAGGAAGCTGTGTGTTCATATAAAATTTTAAAAGCAAACTGAAGAATTCAGTGTCTGTAATTACGTTTCTTTCAGGAGGTATCTGAAGAGATGATAGGATCACCCATCCCAGAACCCAGACAGCGCTCAAGACTTTTAAGATCGCAGTCAGAAAGTTCTGATGAAGTTACGGAGTTAGACCTTTCACATGGGAAAAAAGATGCTTTTGTTTTAGAGGTAATACTGCATTGAAATAATGTCCTAAAAGTCTGGGAAGATAAATGGTTTATCATTGGATTCTAAACTGATGTGACAGCTTGTGCTGTGTTACAGCTTCCAGGGAAATTGTAGACATTTCTCATATTTGACCATAGCAGCACTTGGTAACTGGTGCTGGAATGTAGATAGCTCTGAAGCCATTTGGGTTAAAATAACAGTAAAGTGTGAGTTGAGCAACTCACATTGTGGTGGTTTGAATGTTTGCCTTCGTAGACTCATGTGTTTGAATGCTTGCCCTGTAGGGAGTGGCACTAATAGGAGGGATAGCCTTGTTGGAGGAAGTGTGTCACTGTGGGGTGGGCTTTGAGGACTGTATACTCAAGCTCTGCCCAGGTGGAAAGAGAGTCTCCTCGTGGCTGCCTTTGGATCAAAATGTAGAACTCTCAGCCCTTCCAGTACCATGACTGCCATCGTTCCCACCGTGAGGATGATGGACTATACCTCTGAAACTGTAAGCCAGCCCCAATTAATGCTTGCCTTTATAAGAGTTACCTTGGCCATGGTGTCTCATAATAGCAATGAAGTCCTAACCATGACACTCATCAAAAATCTAAAATCTGAATTGCTCAGAAATTCCTAATTTGGAGGCTGGGGCTGTAGCTCATTTGGTACCGTGCTTGCCTAAGGTTCATGAAGCCTTGTACAGGATCCCAGCACCATGGAAACTGGACACGTTGTTTAAGCCTTTGATCCTGGAACTCCAGAGGAAGTATTCCTTCACTGTATGTAGAGTTCAAGGCAGCTTGGGCTATAAGAGACCCCCCTAAAAAAAATTAGAAAGTTCACTTTTAAAGTTTTGGTTTTGGAGCATTTTAGTTTCTGGAGTTAAGGAGTAGGAATGGTCAGCTTCTAACATCTGTGTAGACATCAGTGTCTGGAGTGCTCGGATCTGAAGGGACTGAAACCCCTGAAAGGAAAAAGATACTCTGCCTGCAATAGTTTTCCATTTGTAGTTATTTTTTTCTGTAAGCCCGAATAACTTTAAATCAGAAATGTACTGATCTTACCTCCCTCCCTCCCTCCCTCCCTCCCTCCCTCCCTCTCTCCCTCCCTCCTTTCCTCCCTCCTTCCTTCCCTCCCTTCCTCCCTCCCTCCCTCTCCCTCCCACCTACCTGTCTATTTGGTTTTTCAAGACAGAGTTTCTCTGTGTAGCTGTCCTGGAACTCACTTTGTAGACCAAGCTGGCCTCAAACTCACAGAGATCTTGAAAGTGTGGTTCAAGCAGGAATTATAGTTGTGTGTCACAATGCCCATCTTAATGTACTGTTTTATCACAGTATAATTGTTCTTACTTCTTTTTTTTTAAATTTTTTTTTTAGATTATTCATTTATTTATTATATGTGAGTACACTGTAGCTGTCTCCAGACACCCATATGAGGGCATCAGATCTCATTGCAGATGGTTGTGAGCCACCATGTGGTTGCTGGGATTTGTACTCATGACCTGTAGAAGAGCAGTCAGTGCTCTTAACCGCTGAGCCATCTCTCCAGCCCTGTTCTTACTTCTTATGACCATATTTGATAAATATTGCTCTATGCACTTTGTAATGATGCCACTGAATACTGAGTACAGTGTCTTCTTGTTCCATACACGAGATACTGCTGACAGTCATGAACAGGTGAGCTCCTTTCCTGAAGAGCAGCTGTGGCATGGTGCTCAGCAGCTCACTGTTTGCACAAGTGCCCCTCACCCTTCCCTGAGAGGAGCTTAGGAGAGACAGGAATGATACATGCACATTGTAAGAAGAGCATTGCTGAGGAGAATCTGCTGCTGGCACCCAGTGACTCTGGAAGCTGCTAGTAGACGTGTGTTGGAATGAGATTCGAGAGGAAAGTCTGAAACATGGGTAACTGCTAAGGGGTCACCCATGAGACAAGCAGATGAGGGGGATGAGAGGGCCTTTTGCTTTGTATCTATCTGGTTTTTAAAAAAGATTTATTCATATGTTTTTATGCATGCGTGCGTGCGTGCGTGCGTGTGTGTGTGTGTGTGTGTGTGTGTGTGTGTATACCTTCATGAGTTTATGCAGGTTATCCCTGAGGCCAGAGAGAAACAAATCCCTACTGTTGGAATTATAGGCATTTGTTATGAGCCACCCAGTATGGGTACTGGGAACCCAAAGCTGGATCCTCTGTAAGAACAATATGTGCTCTTAACTGCTGAGCTGTCTAGCTGGCTCCTGAGATGAGTTTTTATATGCAGAAAACCCAAACTATGGTCTGTTTCCATTGCTCTACAGTTGAGGATGGGCAGAGAAGGGAGATGAAGAGAAGCAGTGTGCTTCAAGCAGGTCATTGGCTCTGGGCTGTGCGGTTATCACGGCCAGTGGTAACATCAGTGCTTCCTGGAGCTTGTAAGAAATGGGGTTGTGAGGATTCTACTTCAGGTCTAGGAAAAGGCGATGTCAAATTGGGGCCCTAAAAGTTAGCAAGCTCTTCAGGTGGCCTAGCATCCGGTGAAGTTTGATCCAGAATCTAACTGATGAGTCAGGCGGGATCCTGACTGGGCAGAGACACGAAAGACAAAAGTACTTCCATTGTGGGCAGAAGATGGCAGGGACAGATTCAGTGGGAGAGGAGACAGATGGGTTACACCTGTGACACTGCTTGTGTCCTGTTTGGGGAATCATGGCTTGAGGTATGGCCATGACTGGGCAGCGAAGCTGAAGTGTGGCTAAACATAGCTGTGAGATGTTATATGTAAGAACACTGGTTTTGTTTAGTCTTGTTTATATTATATGTAGAGTATTTTTATAAACATTTTTGAGAAGTCTGCATAAAAATAATGTCAGTATACTTTAATATATAAAAGGTTTTACTTAGAAGTATTTGAAGTTGTTACTGTGGGGAAATTTGCAGATGTTAAAATTTTTATTTGTTTATATGCATGTGTCTATGTGTGAGCATATGTGTGCTCGTGTCTGCAGAATCAAGAAGAGGGTATCTCAGTTACTTTTCTATTGCTGTGAAGAGACACCTTGACCAGGGCCACTTCTTGAAGAAAAGAATTTATTGAGACTTATAATTCCAGAGGGGAAGAGTCTCTGACCATCATGACAGGGATGTGTCAGCGGGCAGGTAGATGTGGTGATGGAGTGCTAGTTGAGAGCTTTCATCATCATCTGTAAGTAGGATGCAGAGAGAAAGCTAGCTTTTGAAACCTCAAAGCCAACCCCAAATGACACACCTCCTCCAACAAGGCTGTACCTTCAAATCCTTTCCAAACAGTTCTTCCACCTGGAGATGAGGTGTTGAGATCCATGATCCTATGGGGGCCATTCTTATTCCAGCCATCACACAGGGCATTGGGTTTGCTGAGGCTGGAGTTTCAGAGTCTTGTGAGTGTCTCAGCTTGGGTGCTGGGAACCAAACTCTGATCCTCAGAAGAGTAGCAGAGCACTCGTAACTTTGAGACACTGTTCCAGCACCCATGTTAACTGCATTAGCAGGGGAAATGGCTCTGCATTTTCTTAGTTCTTAAACCTTGAGCTTTGCAGAGAATGAAAATAATCTTTAAGGAATCAGGACAACTCCCATATTTGGATTGATGGTTACACAGTAGTTTTATCTTTCTCTTTCTAGATCGATGACACTGATGCCATGGAAGATGTGCATTCCCTTCTTACTGATGTCCCACCTCCTTCAGGTATGCAGCAAGCTAGCTTTGAGATAAAGCAGGTAGACTGATGTTCTGCTTCCTATTTTGAGAGGACTAGCTTTCTTTTTAGTTAGTTAGTTATTCATTTATTGTTTTGGAAATAGGGTCTCATATATCTCAGGCTGCTTTGAACTCAGTATGTAGTCAAAAGTAATGAAAATTTTATATTTAAACTTTATAGTAAAACTAAAATCAGTAAGCTATCATATTTTAATTATAATTTGTTTTGGCAGGTTTTTATAGTTGCAATACAGAAATTATGCCTGGCATAAATAATTGGACATCAGAAATACAGGTAAACTTTTATCAGATTGAAGCAAATACATATACATTATAAGTTTTACTTAAATACTTATTCTTTTTGACCCCCCAGTAGCAATGACAAACACTATTCTTTTTAATTTCATTAGTTTTTCATTATTTACCAGGTCTATCAATTTTTAGACTTTTAGGAAAAAAATAACAAGATGTCATGTTTTTCTTTGTCCTGCACCTAGATGTTCACATCAGTAAGAGTGGTCAGACTAAGCAGCCTCAACTTGACTAACCAAGCTCTCAATAAGAACTTCAACGGCCTATGTGAGAACTTGCTCAAGGTAGGAGCCTGCCACTCAGAACCCAAGTTAAGTGGGCCAGTCTTTTTTGTCCCTAGTACCTCACATGGCTGGGAGTATGCTCTTTCTGTGAGTTTGTCAGTCTCACCTGTGCCACACTGAGGCACTGGCTTGTTCTTGCTCTTCTAGGAGACAGCATTAGGAAAGAAGCTCTTTAACTTAGCAGCTTAACTTTCATAACAATATAGTACGTCTGTAGAATGTTTTTAAGAATTGTTGACAAACTTTAAACCTTTATTGGTGTGTGTGTTTTGCTCAGACTGTATAAAGTTGTATTAGCTAATTGCGGTGGTATGCAGTGACTGGGCTGCCTTGAGCACTTGTCTTCCAAGATAGTCCCACCTCTTACTTCATGTCCTCTGTGCTTACATGATCATATTCTATAAACACCTAAACCTTACCGACAGCCAGCACTGACACTGTACTCTCAAAGAGGAGGGGCTGGTTTAGCTTACTGGTCTCGGTTTCTACCTTTGTGATGTTCTGTCTCTGGACAGCTAATTCCACGAAATTATTAGCGTGCAGTCAAGAGTGATGTCACCAGTTCTCTCCTTTCTGCAGAGCCTGTATTTCAAACTTCGGTCTATGACCCCCTGCTGCCTCTGCCATGTGAACTTTACAGTGTCTCTGCCTGAAGATGAGTTAATCCAGGTAATGAAGGTGCTGTTGATTGTCTAAGAGGCTTCTAGCCCTTGCGATCTGTTTTAGCTTACCATAATCAGTAACTTCACACAGTGTTTTAACTCAGACTGTCTGAAGGCATATATTAGCTTGCATCAGATTGTGTACTTCCTTTGTCTTATTGCTGGTTATCTGCATAACACAAGTGAGCACATAGTACACAGAGTGGGGCTTATTGTTCATGACTTGACCGGTCCCGTTTAGAGACCTAGTCTTTTAGAGAAGGTGCATTCAGAAAAGTCTGGATTTGATGTACATGTTGCATGCTTGAATTTACATAGAATTCTGGTTGAGAGTCTTAATCAGGAAGGGAAAGCTTGTCAGTTGATACAGGTTGTCCCTTCGTGATGAAAGAAAATTTTAAGAAATTGAATTTTATCAGTGATTAGTTTACCAATCATAATTGTTTCTATAATTGTAGGTTACCGTCACAGCAGTTGCAATAACTTTTGATAAACACCAGGCCTTACAGACCACAAAACCCCACGTCGAAAAGTCACAACAAAGAGGTAAACTTTGAAGTCTAGCAAGTAAAGTTCCCATTTGCCTGTTACAGCTTCGAGGTAGGATAGGGTAAAGCTGGACAAGAGATAGTTGCTAAGTAACTGCTGTGCATCTGCCTCTCAGCCTCTGCAGATAATGAAGAACTGCTGCAGTTCCCGCTGGAACTCTGCTCGGACTCACTGCCTTCCCATCCTTTCCCGGCAGCTAAAGGTTGGTCCCGTGGGAGGCTGCTGGGCATGGTGGTCTTTCTCCTCTCTCTGTCTCCTCAGAGCCAGTCTGAGGAGTCTGTCCTCCATCCCGTCATTGTGTCAGTCTGAGGAGTCTGTCCTCCATCCCGTCATTGTGTGGTGTTCTTACCTTGCTTTGTAAATAGATTTCTCTGTAAACAGTGAAGGTCATTTTTCTTATGTTCCATTCTTCAGTTTTATGAAAGTTTTCCCAGTGTATGTATTTACATATAGTGTATTTGGTGTTTTATCTGGTACATTTTCTTCTAGTAGAGGTTTTTATTTGGATTTTCATAGATTCTCCATGGAATGCACAGATTACAAAGGAATGTGCTTCCATCCTTTTAACCCTCGAGACAGGGTTTGTGTAGCCCTGAGTGTCCTAGAACTCCCTCTGTAGACCAGGCTGGCCTTGAACACCCTCTGTCTCCTGAGTGCTGGGATTACTGCCCGGGCTTGCTCCCATCCTTTACACAATGGCTATAGTGAAGGACAATGGTTTGATAAGAAACTGGTAGCTTTTAAGATACAAAATAATCTCCCCTCAGTGAGAATACTCTTAAGCTACAATCCGCAGAAAAGAATGGGAGGACCACTTTTCTCTATTTCTCTTTGCTATAGTATAATTTTTGTTTTGACTTCTCAAAACTGTTCTGTCTAATCTTGCATTACCTATTCAGTAAATTTATTTTATATTTTTTTCTAAAGTTTTTAATTGAGAAATGATTCATTTGTTATTTAATATCATATTAGTTACTGTAATCATATTTCATAACACAATTGAAATTGTTTCTATCTATGAATAATTTTATTTGGTAACAAATTATATGTAAAACAGAATAACTGTGTGTGTGTGTGTGTGTGTGTGTACACACATACACACATGCTCACAAAATAAGTCATTGCACGGTCTGTCTGTCCATGTAGGGATGTATGTTTCTCTCATCGTCCATAGATTTAAAGAGATAAGCCATGTTCGGATTCTGCACTGGTGCCTTTGCTCGTCTTTCTTGTGTCACCAACTACATTCCAATTTAGAATGTGTACAGAAAATCTTAGCATCCCTTAACTTCCTTGGGAGAATAAAGAGGAAATCCAATTCAAAGCTATCTGGGTTCAGATTTCTGGATAAACATACTTTGTAGAGAGGAAAATATTATTGTTAAGAATCTTCTCCAGGGGCTTGACGACATGACTCAGAGGGTTACAGCACTTGCCATTTAGGATCGCTGTAGTTCCCAGCACCCACACGGCAGCCCACAACTGTCTATAGTTAGTCTCAGGGGACCTGATGCCCTCTTCTGGCCTCTTTGGTTATCAGACACACATACTCTGAACAGACATGCATGCATGCATGCAGAATACTTGTACAAATAAAATAAAAATAAGCCTTTAAAAAAAAAAACCCTTCCTTGAGTTCCTTAGATACCCCCCTCTTTTCAGGGATCATCTGTCCTTCCTCTGCAATGGGAACCCACCCCTAGAACTAGTCAGTAAAGGGTTAGTCTGCTGCTAATTTACAAGACTATATGTTTGGAATTGGGGTGCCTTGTAGCTGGATTGTCACCATGTTGTCATTACTCACTGGACTCTACAGAAGATTAGCATGCAGTTTGTCAGTTTGCCTTAGCCGATCCGTAGTGACTCTTCCAAAGCGTTGCAGCCAGTTACAGCCACTGCTTCTGTGCTTGGTAGTTACAAGTACTGCTTCTGTGCTCGGTAGTTACAAGTACTGCT